CAGGAATAGGGTGTGTCTTGAAAACACACATCTCAGGTATCAAAAGCCAAGGTAAAGAGGTATGTATTCAGCATTTGCCAAAAGCTGCACAGTCGTACCTCAGCTCCCGAACGCCTTGGGAGTCGAACGTTCTGGCTCCCAAACGATTGAAAACTGGAAGTGAGTGTTCCGGTTTTCGAACGTTCTTTTGGAAGCCGAACGTCTGGCAGTGCTTCCTTGGCTTCTGATTGGCTGCAGGAAGCTCCTGCAGCCAACCAGAAGCAGCGCCTTGGAAGTCCAACATTTTGGAAGTTGAATGGACTCTGTTCAGCTTCCAAGGTACTATATATGGAAGGTGCCAGACACACCTCTGTGAGGAGGGAATTTAACAATTTATGGGCCGCCACATAAAATGCTCTCTCCTGAGCCACCATCACTCCCAACCTCAGAGGACAGTGAAACTACCAAGAGGGCCTTCTCTTAACACCTGAGAGCGTCTGTAGCAACAAAGGGCGGGGCTCTCTCAGATATTTGGAGCCTAGGTTGTTTAGGGCTTTAAATACTAGCATGAGCCTGGAAATGAACTGGCCAGCAATGCAGCTGTTTAGAACTGGGGTTATAGGAGTTCTAAAGGAAACCCCCGTCGGTAATCTGGCTGCTGCATTTTGGACCAGGGGAAGTTTCAAAGTTGTCTTCAAGGGCAGCTCCACATGGAGCACATTGCAATAATCCAATCTGGAAATTACCAGAGCATGGAGTACCATGGACAAGTCATATCTGTCCAAAAATCTGGAACTCTTTGGGTAAGAATAAATAATTATGTTGTAGGACCCCATGGACAGCATGAATTTCAAATAAAGTATGGTAAGTGTTGGTGCAGTTTGACTGCTGTGTTGGAAGTCAGGTGAAACAACCACACCATGAAGTCTTTGTGTATATGTATGTACACAGGTATCCATCAAAGGAAGTACGACTTCACAAGACTACCCATCCCATACTTCAAACCCTGCTTTGCTATTCTGAGAAGGGTTTGTTGCTATTTTTAAAAAGCTTGGGAGAGGCAAATTTGACATGAGGCAATATTTGCCACTAGTCAAATATAGCTATTTGAATGGATAGCTGCTCTGATCAACAGATTTTAAAATGATAATGCTATCTAATTCTGTGGGCTTTATGATGTTTTGATATTTTGGGACATTTTATTGTACTGTTTCTACTTCAAATGTATTCAATTTATTGTTTATATTATAGCGTTTAATTTTGGTGTTGGGTTTTTACAGAATGCTTTGTGAATTTTTTTTCCTTCATGAAAAGCAGTACACAAATTACCGAATGAACGAATGAATGTGAGAAGCTCAGACCCATTCAGGAGGGCATCTTAATCCAATTTCCCAACAGTTGGCAATGTCATGGGGAGAAGTTGCAGTATTGCCCCCCCCCCCATGTGATCCAAGGCTTCTTAAATTAATTTTGTAGTGTGCCACAGAATGGCTCTGCAGTAGATTGCCAAACTAATATGAACAGTGGATCTTAGAGATCCCCAAGACCTATTGCAGGAGGAGGTTGACAGTCCTGGGCCAGATAAACCATTGCAGCAGCATATCTAAAACACAGTCTTCCTAGTTCATTTGAATGATTCAGGTCTACTGCAAAACAGATGGGAAGTGGGTTGCACCCTTTGGCACATTAAAAAATGTGCAGCATTGAGAAGTATAATCACTCAACTGGGCTGCCAAGGGTATTTTGTTAGCATGAGAAATCTTTCACCTTTCCGTACAAGATGGCACATGCCATCACAAGTGGGCAGGCTTGTGTCGGAAAAGGGGAACCATCAGATACAGTGGGCCTAAACAAATTAGGAGTTTAAAGGTCCTCACCAGCACTTTCAAGGGAGAAAAAGCTGTCTTTTTCACATTTTCACCCCAGGCAAAGTTTTGCACATACGCGTGTAGTAGATGGTTCAATTCATACCAAGGGAGATGGCAGAACAAATGAAGATCCCGGCATTCTTTTAGAATGAATACATATCAATTGGGATACTAGTTTTGAAATCGTACTTGGCAATGTATTCCATGCTTGGGCTGCTCGTGCACAGCAATGATGGGGGCAAATAGGAACAGAATTCTTCCTTAAGATTCTCCTGGGGTTCTTGGTCCAGCCCCCCTCTCGTCCATGCTGCTAGTGGGATAGGCCAGCAGGCTCCACCACAGACTAGGTGCATTCATTAGAGCTCCTGTATGCACAAGGGCAGTGGTGGGAAACCTAGAGGCCTCCCAATTTGGCCTGTAAGGTTATCTTGACTAAGCCACACCCACCTGCCACACACTTCATGCCATATATACGATATCAGGTGGGGTTGTGGGCACTGCCAATCTGAGCTTCCATGGGGCTCCACATGACTTGATGATCATAAGGGCTTGCAAGGGCCTTGTGCACAGCGCTTGACAGCACTCGACAAACACTGCTAGCACCTTATGGAGTGTACCCATGTGGTTTCATTTCAAACCACCATGCAGGGGAACACAGGACACCTGATGTCATTGTGACATCAGGTGATTGACAAGTAGACGGTCCCCCCACCATAAAACTTGATCATCCAAAAAGACGGTCCAAGTGTTGCAGCCTGAGTATCTGTATCTACAAAAATAGCTAACAATGGGAGTACTGTATCATTCTACAAGGCGACTCACTTCAAACTCGACATTGTTATTTTGTGGGTGGATTATCACTGTTTTTAAAAAGGTTGGGAGTGGTAAATTTGACATGCAGATGAGTAGGAGAGGGAGGCAAATTTGGCAAGAAGAAGAGTGGGAGAGGGAAGTGCTCAACTTCATCCTGGTCTACACATTTCCCACTTCAAATCCCTCCCCATCCCCCAATGTGTGCTTCCTTTTCTTTTTGATCCCCATGGGACAGGGGAAGTAACCTGTGAGTCATCTGAAGCAGAAAAAATTGTGAGCAGGTAAACCTTTAAGTATCCACTCTTCCTCAATTCCTTCTTCATTCACTCACTCTCCAATATATTTTGGGTTAACTTTTGAATTTCCTAAATATGCTAGATATCTGAATACTTTGATGATCCTCAAGTATCACCATCTCTTTTCCTAGGGACAGTTTTAACTGTCTCCCTTCCACAATATGGGAAAGGCAATATCAAAGTAGTCGAAACTTTGGGCCATGTCTTTTTTGAATGCAATCATAATAGAGAAGACTATAACAGATTTAAGTTCCCTTATGGAGAAAAAAGACCCTTGAAGGGCCTGGAATCTTTCTTGGCTAGTACAAACAAGTTAATAACAGATTTAGTGGCCATGTTCCTCTTCTTTGCTCAAGTGCATCATGAGATGATACTTTCAATTCAACTGCAATTTGTATCTCATATTTTTATTTTTGTATCATATTGTATTTTAAATAAGTACCGGTATTTGTTTTAACGATCATGCTTTTTAGCTATGTATGTCTGTTTTAGCAGGTCTGTTGCGATATACTAAATGACAGATTGACTTCATTCCAAATTCTTCCCCAAACCCCAACAGCTGCTTTCCTTTTCTTACAAAAATGCACTGGGGCTCTAATAAGTGCATTTGTTCATAACATGTAATTAGCACCTGTCCTCTACTTACTGATGTGACATTTTTGACACTCTACATTTTAGGATGCTTTGTTCTGTGAGGCACCTCAGTCTGTTGCTCCACCTTCAACTCTAACCACAGAAGGATGCCACATCATCCCCAGTGTTTATATGTTTTTTTATACGAGACGATATCTTTATTGTCATTGTCCCTTGCGGAACAATGAAATTGGAAAACTACATAAAACTACATAAAAACTACATAAAAGTACATAAAAACTACATAAAACATTCAAACCCCCCTAAAAACTCTAAAACCCCATTTTAAAATACACTATACTACAGAGACCCCTTATGCTGCGTTTAGAACCAGAATTGCATTAGTGTAGAAACTGTTTTTCAGGCGGCTAGTCCTGGCCTTTATAACCCTATACCTTCTTCCAGAAGGCAGAAGCTGAAAGAGATCATTTCCGGGGTGCGTACTATCCTGCACTATCTCTGCCGCTTTCTTATGGCACCTGGCAGCATAGATTTGATCTAAGGTGGGAAGAGTGCACCCAATAATTCTCTCTGCAAAATCAATAAAGTATAAATGAGCCGGAGATAATCTCGCCATACAGCAAGAGAGGCAAAACCAGGATGGCAGTTGCACATGATTCTTCCATCGATGCTCTTTTCACTAGACTGTCTAAAAAGTCCCTTTCCTTATGCTGACTTGCATCATAGCAAGTACTTTGAACTTGGTTAGACTGGAAAGAGAGAAAAGCAGATATCTATATCTATCTGCTTCTAGTGTATGCACCTCAAAAAATAAAATAAAAAAATATCACCAAGTCCCCCCCCCTTCAACTAGTTATTTGCGTGTGTTGCTACATTACACCCAGGGACATGCAAATACTGCCATTCAAAGCAGGGCTGGTCTGCTGCCTGTTTCCCAGTGTGGCTCCCGTAGCACCTTGAGTGTTAATAGACTGCTGGAGAGACTGTAAACATGAATCATGTGCTTTCCGCTCTCTAGCCCACCTAGAGCACGAAGGGGATCCGCAGCCGCTTCAGGGAAGACAAACTGTGTGCAGCTACCTCTTACCCTCTTCGGGTCCCGCGCTCGGCCAGGCTAGAGCTACAGTGGCAAGGAGGGGAGCCCCTTGTGCAGTTGCAATTGGTGATCCAGAAAGCCACATCATGCATTAGGAAATGCGGCTAATAAGAGCTGCAGGAGAAAACCGGCGTGATGCAGGAAGGACAGGCGATGGCAGATGTTTGTATTGGGGGGAAAGAAAGGTGCTGACCGTACGGATTTCATCTCTTCCCTGGAGCTGAATGTCGATTTTTGGGGAGGGGAGCAAAGTCTGCTTCCTTCCCTCCATATCTTGGCAAGAGGCGACACTGCAGGGAACTTGGGAAGAGAGAGTTACCCCCACAGACAGACAAATAAAGGGTTGTTATTTACCTTGTGAGAAGTGCAGCCCGCTCCTGGGCTCAGCTATTGCCGCAGGTGCAGAGGAAAAGAGAGGATGCCCAGTCCTGCTTCTGCGGCTGCCTTCTGCTAAATTCACATCCCCCGCCCGCCCTTGGTCCCCAGGCAGTCGCTGCTGCTGCTGCTGCTGCCTCACATTGAACTCCCCCTTCCCCCTTAAGACGCGCTCGCCTTCCCGACCCATTCACAACCAGAGCGGCTGTGCGTGTGTGCGGCAGCTTCAACCAGGGGAAAAACTGACAGGGCCGCTGACCAATCTGAAGGCGGAGCAGTCCGCCGGCTTGACTAAGAGGCCAATGGCTCTGCCGCAGAGGACGCCAGACGAACCAATGGTGGGCGGGCGCAGTGGGTGACAGACCCCAGGACAGGGACACAGGCGCCTATAGCAGACTCCAGGAGACATTTATGTATAAGGGCCTATTCAGGAGCCGGTCACCACCCTGACACCACGCCTTCTTGAAAGGTCTCCTAGCACCGCATCTTCCTGCTACTCCAGAGCATGTGTTTGTGCAGGATCTTTCTTCAGTTCATGCTAAAACACAAACTCACACAATAAATATTTTGAGAGCTTTTGGATTTGGAACTGGGTTAGTAAAGAAGGACGAAATCCTCTCTAAAGGGTGATCTTTTAGTATTTATTTTATTGAACAGTCCACAGGATTGACACACACCCCTCAAAGAGTATCAACACAAAAACACACTTAGTGGGTGTGCCTTGCCCCATAATTATTTATATGGTATATAATGTGTTAGCTGTGTTAGAAAAAGTAACAAACAGGTCCCCCCCAAAGTAGCTGAGCGACTTATAGCTTTAAAAAATGTAAAGTACTTTCCAAGGTAAATGTGCAGCACTAACGACAATTCTCAGACGGCATTACTTCTACATAAATTGTTCTTGACATTCATAATCACCTAAAAAAGTTAAAAACAATGTATATATTGCTGCCTGTATGCTCACTGGCTTATAGTTTTTATTAATTCTCACAACAGTTTTTTGAAAGCACATCATTAGTATTCCCATTTTACAGTGGGAAGCTGAGGCAGAGAGAAAGTGGCAAGTCCAAAGGGGAGCTTCAAGAACAAAAATTTAAACTAAAGACCACAGTGAAGAAAACCATAGTTAATTCCAGCTGTTGAATGGAGTTGTGGTTGCCACTAGTTCTGAAATGTGGTAGCTTCAAAGAGTTTGCAGTTCAGCACCAGGGACTACTGTTCAAGGGTAAATACGATCATTATTGCTAGCTGCCCTGGAAATACTAATGTTCAGGATACATATTTGTAAAATAAATAACAGAGATGTTCAGATTGTGGCAAGCTTAAAATATTGCTGCTAGATATAGTAAGTCCTTACGTTCAAGAGGGGTCTCTTGTAGTTTATTATTTTCCAAAGGAAGTAAACCACATACATTTATTCCCACAAAGAGAAGGAAAGGCAATGTGCAAAGTAACCACTATGAAATGATTATGTCAATCAGAAATGTAGGGCACATGGAGAGCAAAACCTAATCTCTGAGAGGTTTCCCCTTTATCTGCACTCAGCTACATAATCAGCTTTTCATCTCAACATAGGATAAATGCAACCTGCCTGCTGCTTCATTTACCCTATATAGAGAGAGCTGTGGTAGAATTGTATGAATCAAATAGCCACAGAGTTTGAATGAAATTGCCTTAAGTTCCCCCAAAAGAGTCCCATCATTGTTTCCGACTTCCAGAGCTCTACAACATGCAAAATGTTCAAGTCTTTAATTGCATTTCAGGCATCAGGAACGTTACTTCCTAACAGTTCAGTCCTATATATTTTTACTCAGAAGTAAGTCTCAGTGACTGCTTATTCCCAATAAAGTGTGTGAATAGAACTGCAGCCCAAGTGAAGCATTTTTAGCTCCTACAAACAAGATAGTTAATTGCCTAGAACTACGAGTCAATGGTATGTAATTCAAGGATAGCAGCAGTATTGATGAAGAGGAATTCTATGGATAATCTAGTTCAGAGCACTCAAAATAAATCAGTACAACAGTTTAATTGAATAGGACTGAACAAGGTTGGTTCACTATGGATTCTTCTTTATGAAAATGAATTTGCTGTTTTTCATGGAACACCATCTTTCGTAGAAATTTTAACTTGTTTGTACAATAAGTAACAAAGCTCAATCTATGTGCCTGATTAAAAAAAAAGTAATTAACACAAGGTTCTTGTTTTCCACAGCAAACACCCCCACCCTCACTTAAAACTGCATTATGGGAGAGCAGCAGAGAGAAGAGTCAGAACAAGGAACAACATTCAGAAAGTAGTTCTGCTTAAAGTCTACCACAATAAGTTACTCTGTGTAAGAGAAAGTGATGGAGGAAGTGCACATCACTAAATTTAATAATCAGAGGGATTTATAAAAGGTAGCTGCCTTTTCTTCTAATTTTAGAAAATATTTTCTCCTCATAGAACTTAAAATGCTGTACTCAGTAATGCTAGTGTAATTTCTTCCAGAATCAACAGGGATTTGGGTTTTATATATATATAAATTAGAGCAGCATTTCAATCATTTGCACTCATTTGCTCACTACTAATCTAAGTTCAGGAATGGAATCTAGGAAAGTCACTGCCAGTCAGTCTAGACCAGGCATAGGCAACCTTGGCCCTCCAGATGTTTTTGGGACTACAATTCCCATCATCCCTGACCACTCTTCCTGTTAGCTAGGGATCATGGGAGTTGTAGTCCTAAAACATCTGGAGGGCCGAGGTTGCCTATGCCTGATTTAGACTATGGCTGGGCAACCTGTTTCAGCCCAAGAGCCACACTGGGAACCTTCAGTGGGGTTTAGACCCTCTTATGGATCAGTAACTGGTTAAGAAACAAGAAGCACAGAGTAGGAATAAATAGACAGTTCTCCCAATGCAGAGATATAAAAAGTGGAGTCCCCTATGAACTGGTATGGGGACCAGTGCTTTTTAACTTGTTCATAAATGAACTAGAATTAAGAGGTGTGCTGTGAGGTAACAAAGTTTGCTGATGATACTAAATTGTTCAGGATGGTTAAAACAAACAAGAGTTGCAAGGAGCTCCAAAGAATCATGGAACTGTAGAGTTGGAAGGGTGGGGTCATGTAGTCCATGGGGTCTGAACTGGCAGTGATTGGCTAGGAATGAGACCTTGGGGTCATAGTGGAGGGCTTGATACAGTCTTAGGGCTCATACGCCTTTCTGCTTGTCCTGTGACTTCAAGGCATCTGTCTGTGCATGCCTCTCTTCATGCAGGCAAGCAACTTACAACATCATACGTTTAAGTCAGGACTGATGGAACATTTTTATTGTTAATGTGAGCTGGCGATGCTTTTTCTTGTTGTTGCTATATATACAAAATTTAAACAAACAAATAATTGCTTCTACATCAGTGCTATGTTAGAGTAAAAAAACAAAACAAGCAAAAACAGTTTCCCAACCGTGGCTTAAAATAATAAAAAAAAATGAACACATACAAGTTTCACATTTTAAATCACTAAAATCATCGTATAATCTCATGACTACGGAATAAAAAAGGGTTTGCTTCTGTCACTCTGGCGTTAAACATATTTAGGGGGCCTGGTTGGAGAGAGGCTTGTGGGGCTGCATTCAGCCACTGAAGTTCCTGTTTCTGACTTACAGGATTCTGGAAGAGATACAACTGGAAAAAATGCACACTCCAGGTTACAGATCCTCTCAGGCCATTGCACACAAACACACCCTGGGTTCTTCAAGTGGTAGAGAGATATTACTACTATTAATTCTTCTTCTTCTTCTTCTTCTTCTTCTTCTTCTTCTTCTTCTTCTTCTTCTTCTTCTTCTCTTGCTTCCCTCACAGAGGTGACCCAAAGTGACTTACAAATGATGGTTGCATGGTCTGGGTCAGTACATGTGAGGAAAGGCAGTCCTTGAGGTATTGGGGTTCTGAGCCACACAAGGCTTTATAGGCCAAAACCAGCATTTTGAAATTAGCCTGGAAATTAATTGGTAGCCAGTGCAGTCATGCTAGATTTTGTGTTATACGTTTGGACCATCCTGCCTCTGTCAGCAGTCTGGGCACTCTCCAACAGCTACAGGTTCTAAACCATCTTCAAAGGCAGCCCCATAAATCCAAGTTAATTGTGTTTAACTACAGGTGAGAATCTGGGGGGCTTGGCTATTCCCCTGCTCCATGCATGTTCCCCATATGCGCTTAGGATGGTGTTGCAGTTCAAAAGCAGAAGGATTAAGCATTAGTATTAGCATGCCTTTGGGAATCCCATGTTGGCATCACTTTAGTCCTGGCTTTTGAGTAAGGCTTTTGATTGAATATAGTCTTTGTCTGCCTTCTGGCATACCGTTCTCTGTGAATAACTACAATCAATGGGATTTTGATGTGCACAAACTGTCTGTAGTACTGCAGCATGGTTAAGAAATTTAAGGTGCACACTGATCTTGTATAGATTTAATAATCACATGCCTGGAAAAGGGCATAAATTGCAAGTGGCAATAAATCACAAGCATCGTGCCCCTTTCTTTAGTATGCTAGAAGGAAAACCAAAACAGAAGCAGCAATAAGGACAACTACTATGCAGCATGAAAAGGTGTTGAAAAATAACACTCCAAAGTTGACAAATTTTGGCTTGGCTTACTAGCCAGTGTTTATTTGTGGTCAGTGGTTCCCCACCCATGTATATGCCAGAGAATACGAGGAACTGGAGTGATGTTTTTCATTTTGTAGTGGGATCTTGAGCAGGCAGAAACAGCACTAGTTCAAATTGAACAGTTTTCTGCTCCAAAGCTCAAGGTAATGCAGACCCCGCCTCTCCCCACTCTCTGAAATCAGAGGAAGGGAAGGGTATCATGCAATTGAGAGACCCCCTCCTCCCTTCTTCAGAATAAAGAGGCAGGGATTTCAATGCACTGAGCAAGGGGCATCACCAGAGACCCTGATTATATATGGGGTTTAGATTTAGTAATCATTTTTAGACTGGCAAGTTTGTGGCTAGGCATTCACAATATTCAGAGATTTACCTGAAAGGGGATTACTAGCTAGACAAATCCCATTAAAGTCAATGGGATTAAATTAAAGAAGAAATTT